CTGTGAATTATCCATTTTTGGTAAGTTTAATTTGACGAGTTGTAATATAGTGCTACGAATGAGGAAACTCACTGACGATGCCGACTACGATGCCGGCGAAACGTCTGGGAGCGTACCACGTCCACGGTCCGACTCTGGAAATAATTATGCATACAATGGACTCAGGACATGGTACGTTTCTATCAGTCTTCCTACTAACATGACCAAGTTGCGAAAACAAGGTCAAACAATTTCTATACAACGAAAGGAGACTGCGACCACACAAAACGCCACACCATCTTGGTCTTCATATCTTCGATTAATTTTCCAAGGTTGCAGCAAAAACTAAAACTTCCGCTATAGACAAAATTGCATTTTTTGTTGCTTAACCTCATCAATAGATAGCTTGCCTTCAAAAAAGATGTCTAACACGTTTATGTACAGTAAAGGGATTGAAAATAAGGAGTGTGCTTGTGGCAGGCTAACAAAGTTTAAAGGACTGCAAAAGAGGGGCAAAATGTTCTTCCTATATTAAACTATTTCCTAGCTTGGCAGGGTCGTTTGTGTACACATAAACCGGCAGAATGACTGTCTTTTCGTTCGCTGATTTGAAATTACCTCCTGACAACTGCGCAGACGTATTTCCGAGGCCGTGAGCCTCGCCTGCCTGACTGCCCACCGAGATACTGCGACCCAGCCGTCTGAGTGAGTTTCGTCGAGCTCCGTTTGTCGCCTGTAAAGGCAATCGCCTTGACGACATAAGTGCTGACTTGTCTGTTTCGCTGGCCGTACGGGAGGGGAATCGTGGAGCCGCCTGCAGATTCGGCCGTCCCCTCAGATGATCTGAAATGCCAGGTTCCGTGAAGAACGGGCCGTTGCTAGGCAGAGGTAGATCAGAATAGATGGCGTTGGTTGACCAATAGGCATCAGGTAAACTGTTGACGCCAGTCGAAATGGTGCTGGCCAGATGGGCAGACTGGTTAGGCATGAGATTGTTCTGAAGGACCGGTGGATTCAGTCCGTACCACCTCGGACGGGCGGCAAAGCTTGGCCCCGGGTGGCTCGGGGAGGCATAGGCCAGATCGTTGGTATACCAAGCCCTTTCTTCAGGGAGCCCGGATCGGTCACCGGGGACCAGCATCATCTCGGGAACCAAAGGGATCTCTTGCTGATTGTGCGGTGAAAGGAAGACTGGTCGAAGCTGGAGGCTTCCGTGGCGTGGGTAGCTCGACGTCATGGCTACTGAAGGCTGGTGTGCTGGCCTCATCGAAGGCCAACTAGCCTTGCTAGCCAATCTGCCGGGGGGCGGATCAAAGCCGAACTCGTAGAAGGCTCGGTAGCTGCGCTCTTGTCGGTCCAATTGGGTGATCGAATGTTTCACCCTCGGCTCCACCGATTCGTCTGGCAGCGGTGGATCGTCGTAATCGAAACCCGAGTGTGTGCTCACCGGACTCTGTTGGCCCTCGCTGATTCCCGGATCGTACAGAGCATTGTCCACCTCACTCTCCGGATTCGACATGGCCGAAATAATGATGTCCCTAGTGCGCTGTAATGCCTCTCCTGCACGAAAATTCAGCACCAAATAGGAGATGTCCTCATTCTTTCGTCGCATCTTGATCACCAGCATTGTGTTGTAGTCCGTAAAGGTATATATGTCCAGAATACTGCGGTAAGAGATCAGGTTTCTGTACGTCTTGACCGACAGCTTCCACAACTTCTTGAGGTAGATGGTGCCGTCATAGAATCGCAGTAGGCATGAGCCGAGTGGCTTCTTGCCATAGTACTTTAGTAGAAGTCGCTCTTCCTCCAACTGGGAATAGCGGCTATCGGGACGGACCGAGTGTTCCGAGATCAGAGAAGCCCGACACTCATAGTAGACCAGCCTGCCTTGTCGATCCTTTCGTGGCCATCGGTTCATGTCAGCGGAGTTTTCAGACTCCCGGTTTATCGTGAACTTGGTGACCGAGACCAGACTGGCGCTACGCTTGGCCGCCTTGACAGCGACTGGTGGACCTCCGGCAGAACGGCTGTTCTGAGAGTAGCGCGACTGACGTCCCGTCCCAATTGGCGGCAGGTCATCGCGACTGGCCAGAGGCGTAGACTCCATCCGGTAGACTGGAGGTTGGAGCCCGTTCACACCCTTCTCCGAGACGGCCTTGTCCGCGGACCGCCATCTTGCCTCGTGGAGACGCTGGCTCGTCAGAGGCGCCAAGGTTGGATTCGTTTCAGAAATGTTTGCCGGCCGCGTTTGCTGTGAGCTGAGTTGCCGGAAATGTTGGAGCGATTTTGCAATAAAACTTCTTCGAGGCTGGGCCGACGACGTCTGTCTCCGGGACGACTGGAGAAAGTGGTTGCCCTGAAGGTGCGGCTGCAGCGAAGCACGTAATTCCACAGGACCCTCGCAGCCAAGATCGCTGAAAGTATCGGCCTTTTTGACTTGAACCCCATAGACCTCTTTTTCTTGATTTATCGAGTCCAGCTGTTGTCGCGACAGGTACTGCGTCTCAATGTCATCGGTTTCATCGGG